ATATCATATTCAATTTTATCAATATTGAATATTTTATTAGACCATTTAGAGTTATACTCCTTTCTGTCGGTGTAATTACCCCTTTTCTTTTGGAACACTTTTACCTTGTCGTTCTCCTCTATTTTGGGATACTTTCTTTTGTTTTTTTCTCGTAGTTTAAGATTGACCTTTACATTTATTTCATTGTCGTCCTTGTGTGCTTCAGTCGGTGCCATCCTTGTTGATGAGTGAGATGTGCTGTTATACTGTTTCAATGCTTGCGTTAGGGCATCGGTCCATTTCATGTTGTTAAACCTAACTCTATCGTGAATTTTGTTTTTCATCGTTCTAATAAAACGCTCGGCCACATTTGCGTGGGTCTTCGTGACGATGTGGTTTATTCCTTCACTGTTGAAGAAATCCTGAACTTGATTTTTAGTTGCAAACGCTCCGTCGTCATCAGAATACACGGACATCGGATAACCCATCTTTTTAAAGCTTGCTCTCAACGCCTTCAAAACGTGCTCTCCGTCTCTTTCCTCCATCGGTATTACATCTGCTAATTTACTGAAGATGTCAATCACGACTAAAGCATACTGTGGAACGTTCTTGTCTTTTGCTAAAGGTGACATATGCATTATGTCTATTTGATATTCATATCGTGCGAATGGAGCGGTATAGGAATTAGTACCTCTATAATTTTTGATTTGTTTATTTGGTTGTTTCTTTAAGAAAGACTTTACATCGTCTATTGTTATTGTTGGGTCTTCTTCCTTTGCCTTCTTGTGTGTCGCTTGTGTGCTTCCGAAACCCTCGTCTAAGTCGTAATAGATGTTGCTGATTATTTGGTCTTTTGTTAATCTCGCCATTATATTAAATTGTTAGAAAATATTTTTTTCAATATAAAGCCCCACCCCTTAACATAAAATAAAAAACTACTTAAAGAAATATTAACTTATTATATTAAGTGAAAATTATGGCTGAAATAAGATTAGAGGACTTGAATTTAGAAAATGTCGGAGTGATTGCTGACTTATCAAACTTGGACGCTATCAGACGAAGAAGATGATGATAATGACAGTTATAAAAAGGAATTAGATGAAGAGTTAAACAAAATAAAGGATTTCATCAAAAGACACCCTTTGCCACCAGTTGATGAAAACGAAGAATTCTGGAAAGATGTCATTAGCAGGTTTAGGGATAATAGCGGATTAAACTTGATGGCGATATACTCATTTGTTAGGTTTGACATCATGAAAGAAATGTATGAAAACCTAACAGATGAAGACATCATAAAAGACTGTGGTAAAAAGTTAAACCGTGATGGAAAGTTTAATGCAATGATTATTAACCACTATATCTTATCAGGAGCGATACGGAAACTAAACAAAGAAGACAGTCTAGTAGATGGACAGATGCGAATTATTGAATTCTGGTGGGATGGAATAGGTGAATGGAAAGCGTGAGTGATTTAGTTTAATGATATTATTCAATTATAATATGATTAAACCTAGTTTTTATAATCTATCAACAAGGTTAAGACATTCAAATTAAACCTGAAACCCAGACCAGCCGACCAGCAACCCCTAGCCAAAACTACTTAAAGAGAAAGCACCTTATATATAAAGAGAAAAATGAGTGAGGGTAAAATGTCAGAGAGTAATTTTATGGTTAAGAATTGTGCTAGCTTACCTATGGAAACATTGTTAAACATCGCTTCTTATATGATTGGCAATGAAGGGTGGCAAAGACTAAAACAGTGTAAAGCATTAAGGGTCTTACAAAGGAAATGGAAACCGTCTATTTACACTGAACGAGTAGGAGAAAGTAGATATTATGCGTTGATTAACAATAAATGTTTGAAAGGTGATAAAGCACTTTCATATGCGTTGAAACCACCAAAAGAATTATTAAGAATGATGAAGTATGATGAAGAAATACAGGTTGGAATAGAAGTTAGTTCGAAAATTATGTATCATAATAATATTTGCAGCTGTCGTTCTTATTCATCATCTAAACAGAATAAGATTTCAAGTAGAGCGTCATTACAATACCATATTGAACAAGCAGTTGAAGAAACCAAACAGACTATGAAACGACACGAAATCATTACTATCGATCATGTTATAATTGAAATTTATAGAAAACAGAAACAATGATTTCATGGTTTAATCATAATATTTAATTATAATATGATTAAACATTGTTTTATAATCTAACAAGAAGGTTAAGACATTTAAATTAAACCTGAAACCCAGACCAGCCGACCAGCAACCCCCTAGCCAAAACTACTTAAAGAAATATTACCTTATATATTAAGAGAAAAATGAACGGTGATGGAATCAATAATTATATCGATAAAAAATGCTATGATTGTTGTCACTTCAAAAAAGAAAATATGGAATTGTATAAATTGAATTTACCTAATGAAATAGTGAATAATATTATTAATTATTCAATGGATGGTGAAGAAGACATATGTAAAAATTGTAAAACATGGAGAGATAATCAATTTTTAATCAAATGTCTGTTGGGAATAAAAAGAATACATAATAGAAATGTAGAAGATGATATTTTAATATTTCTAACTGTAAATAAAATACCACCTTACGATTGTGTTAAACAGTTTCTTAAAATCAGTAAGAAAAAATATGAAATGATTTATGATATATTATGGATGTTGGGTTATAGTCAAGAGAAAGGAGAAGATGTTAAAGAAAATATCAAATTATTTATTGAAAGTAAAAAGTTTAATGTTCAGAATACAGTGAGAGATGTTAATATTATTTTTAAAATGATGTATGAAAGAAGTAAGACAAACCAATTAGATTATTATCCTGAACTGAAATTATAATCATAATATAATAATAACATGTAAAATCTTATATGTTATAATTATACTGAACTTTTAACCTATAACACCCCTTAAACTTATCTAAATAAATAACCCCTTAAACATATAGAGACCGATGACAGACAAAAAGCAATGTTCCAAATGTAAAGTCTTTCAATTGTTAGAAAAGTTCAACGAAGGAAGAAAACAATGTAATGTATGCTTGGAGAGCAAACGACGGTATAGAGAAGCACACAAAGAACAAATACAAGAGAAGGCAAAGGTTTATTATGAACAAAACAAAGAACACAAACAACAATACATGAAAGAATACAGGGAAGAATGCATAAAACAAAAAATTGAATGTCAATACTGTAGATGTATGGTAAGTCCTCAACACAAAGCAGAACACGAAAGAACCAAAAAACACATCAACAATGTTAAGAATCCAAAACCACCAAAGACGGAAGAAACAACAAAAGAAAACAAACCACAAACAACACAGGAAGAAATAAGAGAATACATTGAAACCTCATCAGATTTTGAATATGACTTGAACAAAGAATAAGATAAATCAAATGAACCACCAACACCCCAGAACATTATAACTACTAAAAGGGTTAACTCTTTCAAATGAAAAAATGTCGGCCCCCAGCCCAACAATGAACAAGGCGACAATTTACCCAAATGATTACCTTAACGAAAACGATAAACAAGCTCCCCAAAAACACCCTTTTAAAAACGAATAAGGGGGAACACAGATTTGAGATGAACATAAAAACCAGAACAGGCAACCCTCAACAGGCTTCCCCTCAGGGCCCCCCTTTTCTCCATTTTTTCCCCCCCCCTGAAGGTAGGGATTTTTGGGTTCGAGGGGCTCGTGCCGCTGCTTGGTGCGGTGTGGTCGGTCTCAGGTTGGTGCTTGGGGCGAATCCGCTTTTGGAGCTTTGAGGCCTGTCCTCAGGTTGGAGTCCTACTTTTTTTGCGATGGCTGTTGGTTACGGATTCCTATTCTTAGCGGCCCCAAAAGGTGATCAGCTGGTGTTTTTTGGCCCTTGGGGCAACTGAGTGGCTGCATGGGGCGGCTGGAGGCAGCTTCCAGGAGGGAGGGTTCAAGAGATTCGGTTGCAGGGGGTTTCGGGGGCTGTTGGGATACCACTTGGGCTGATTTGAAGGCTCGGTTTACACCGTTTTTTGGGGCAGTTTTGAACAGAAACCCCCAGGTCCCCGCGATTCTTGGCAAATACTGTAGCCTCCAGAAATGGATTTCGGTTGCGCACCTGAAAAGCCAACCTGCAGTCATGGCAACACCTTCCATTATTTTTGCGCCCATCCGGGGCAACTGAGTTATTGCTTCCGTTTTCTACCAATATTGGTCCTTCGGGGCCAATTTGCTTCCTTTTTTCTGACATGAATATAGATTTAACCAACCTTTTCTTGGCTGGAGGGATTTTACTGGGCACAAGTTCTCAGTTTTTTTTTTTTTCAGGGGACGAACAATCACAATAGTAAGTTGTTGGCAACCACTTGGCGGGTTCCCCACTTATAAGTTCCCCGCTAGAGTTAGCCCTGTGAAGATGTGGGTTGTAGCCCAGGTGGGGAACCACGTAACTTGGCAGCGAACATCCAGCCATAGCCGGCCAGAGCTTAAGCCTCCTTGCTGGTCTCGAAGGGACCAAAAGCCTTTCAGACACAACATTTGAGGCGGGTGAGCAAAAGGAGGCGTTTCTCTACTTTATGGCTATTTGCTTGGATCTTTGGACTTGAACTTTTTGGTTGACACGCTGGATTTTCCGTTGGACCCGCAAAGAGTGAACAACTTGTTGCCGAGGGGTCGATCCCGGCAACCGAGTCTACAAGGTATACCTTTTGCTCACTTGCCCACACCGAATCGACCTTTTGACTTTTTTTCTTCTCCCATGTTGGATTCCCATGGGGAGTGACCTTTTGGTTTCCCATGTTGGATTCTCCCATTTTTAGTGACCCCAAAAGGAGCTTGTATTTCCGCGTTTCTAGGTGGCCTTTTCTTTTTTGCTTTCCCCCCTGTTGGATTCCCATTTTTTTCGAGGAGTCACCCAATTTTTTAGTGACCTTTTTAGTGACCCATTTTTTCGCCTCCCTAGGGGGTGACCCATTTTTCGAGCCCCAGAAGAAGGTGCTCGGGCGCAAGTGAGACGTTTTGCGGCAGGCATCGAGGAGGTGAACATGTTCACCGCGGATGGGGGGGTGCTTCATTTCAACGCCCCCAAGGTGCAGGCTGCGGTCGGGGCCAACACCTACGCCGCCTCGGCTGGATGTGGGCGGGCGGCGGGGTTGGTGCCAATGGGGCGAGAAACAGGACATTCTTCCCGGAGAAAACGGGCAACATGGGTGTTTTACAGGGCGCTCTGCAGGGTGTTTTGGGGTAAGTTAGCCCTTTGAGTGGGACTTTTTGGAGGCTCGGCTGATTCCGCACATGGCTGTGGCTCAAAAAGGTGGTAGCAAAATGGCACCTTCGTAAATGGAACCAAAGACTAAAACCTGCGTAGCCGTAGCTCTTGAATTTTTAGCCATCCCACATTTCACCCAGGGACACCCCCCTATGAATAAACTATTGATAAATATTGGTTCAACATAAAATTGACACCGAAAGGAGCACCACCATTACCATCATTTTGGGGGTAAAAACACGGTGGGTCCATCAACCTGTAGGAACCAAGGGCTTGCCACCCGACGCAGGAAGAAATTGCGAAGGGTCGCTTACAAGGGCGAAGCGCCTGGGATCCACTGGGAAAGCGATCCTTATGCGGAATCCGTGAAAGCGAGGGTGTTTTTGTTTATGTTTAAAGTTCAAGGCAAAACCGAAAGCAAAGCCACCCCCCTTACAAAAAACAGGGACACACCCTGAACAACTAGGTTGCCTTTGTACCCTTTTTGGGGGGGGGGTTCCCCTACTCAGAAAGAAAATCTGGTACCTTTACTCGAACCTCTCTATTGGAGGACCTAGACAAGGCTCCCCTGGCCCTTTCAGCTGGCCCAGCTTCCGGCCGAGGTGGTCTCGGGCCAGCCGGAGACCAAGCGCCTTGAGGAGTTGCTGCCAGGGATCATCAACCAGCGCCTCGCTCGAGGAAGTTGGCTCGGTGGATTTTCTGGTCGTCCATTTGCTGGAGAATATGGTTTATTCTCAGCGGTTGGTTTTAAAGCTGTGAGTTATGTCTTCCATTTGCTGAAGAGTAGGTTTTATATTCTCAGCTGCTGGTTTTTAAGGAAATGTATCACTACTGGACATGGGGTCTAAACTGTTTTTTGGTTCCGTGTGCTGAAGGGTTTGGCGGGTGTGGCTGCTCCTGGACCAGTCCTTGAGGCTTGCGCAGGAGCACTTTCATCGGAGGGCACCTGTGAAAACCCTGTACTCGACTCACTTCCTGAGTTCATGGACTTTAGAAACTATGTGGGTTTGGACCATTTTAGTGGTATAGAAAGCTTGGACTTTTTTTTGGGCACTCAGCAAGTGAGTTGCTGAAGAGAATATATCTTATATTCTCAGCTGTTGGTTTTAAAGGGAGTCGATTTCACTACTGGACATTGAGTCTAAATAAGATTGAATCCCCAGTTTCAAATTCAAACCCAAATTCTGGCTCAAAATTAAACAACTGGGGTTAGGCAGGTTGGGTGCCATTTTGGTACATTTTTTGACCCGCAGCCATATGTTTTTTTTTCCCCCTGCTAGTTTGAATGTGAATCCGTCACTGCTGGACCTCTGATCACTTTTCCAAGGGGCTTAATGGAAGATGGAGCACTCTTTGCCGGACATCAAGATTTGGCGTTTTCTGCAGGCAGTTCCCTTTTCTAATTCATAGCCATATCGGGCAGCACCCAAGACCTCGCTCTAACCTTGGGGGTTCTTTTTTGGAAGGGACACTTTAAGGAAGGCCCCCTTTTTCATGGTTGTCGTCGGGAAGCATTTTACATTTTTGCTTTTTGTGGTTTAGTGGTTGAAATCCAACCACTTAACTGCTAAAATTTAAATTTTGCTCCCCTTCCAACGTCAACCAAGTTTTCTCAGCAGACCAACAGGACACCACAATTTTCCTGGATAGAAGCGCCCCTGAACTGCGATTGGCGAAAAAAAACAACCATGGCACCCCGTTTTTTTTTGGGGGTCTTGGAAGCAATCCTGAAGTCGAAGGCTTCCAATAGGGACAGGCTTGTGACGACAGCCAGTGCTGCCCTCGATGTGAACGGCAAACCAATGGAGCGGGGCTTCCGTGAAACGTGGCCACTTCAGCCTTAGCCAGAGATCACGAGAGCCTGGAGCCGGCCTCTCAACGTGGAGGCCAATTTTTACGACTAAGATCCTCGGAGTTTTGGGCTGGACATTGTCCGAACCTGACATGCCATGGAAGGAGGGGCAAGTGAGCTCCCCCAGTTCCTTGGTTTTGGAGCTGGTCCAAATATATTTCCTGCCACATGCAGTCCCGCCGATTTCTGATTATGGTCCTGGGATACTTGGAACCCATGAAAAAGGAAAGTGGTCGGTTCCCATGTTGCCTCCCCTTCAGCTTTAAGCACCTGCTTCGTTCCCCCCCTTTCTTCGGCCCATCCAGACCAGCCCCACCCCAATCCGATGCATCGCTCCGCATCGATCGATCTCGCTCGCGGGATGTCAGGCTGGGCGCGGACAACTTGGCGAACCTGAGACGGATCGCCGAGGGCTTCCAGGCGTCCGCCCAGAACGACGCCGGAGGTGCGGCCCGGGCCGTGCGCCATGGGCGAGCCGAATGCGAGCGAGCCGAATGCGTTTTTTAGGATGATCTGAGGGGAATATGACGTGCAGGTCTCTTGAAGGAAAAATTACCAGGGGCTGGTTTATAGGCAACTCATTCCCTGAGAGCCAGGAAGTTGAGGGCATCTCAGAACCTGACTGGACTTTAGTCACTTGTTGGGTTTGGACCATTCTTGTGCTTAAATCCGCAGTTCCGGGACTTTCTTTTGGCAAATCCACTAGGGGCGTTTTCGGGTCCCGAACTTGTGGGAGGCTGAGCGTGTGACTTGTGGGGGCTCAACCAACTTGAAAGCAAAACCTAGCCCCGGAGCCTCTGAAGGTCTTTTGTGGCCGATTTTAAAAGGTGCCCCGGTCCACCCGACCTGCTTTCGGAGAAAGACAAACAAACCCAGGTTCCTGAGCATCTTCCAACTCAGTTGTCACACTGTTTTTTTGTGGGCTAAGAATCCGTGCCGATTGGCACCAGTTGTCAGGTGGGTCATCCGAGTTTTGTCCAACCCACCTGAGTCGGAAAAAAAAAAAAAAAAAAAACGTTGTATGTGTCAATGTAAGGCATGATCCCAGGTCTTTTGGACCTATCAAATTAGCTGCACCGCCGCTTGTAATTTGAATGGCAGGAGTGTGTTGCAGGAGCGGCCGCGCAAGTCAAACATGGGGCCGCGCAAGTAAAGCGCAAGTGAAGCGCAAGTGACGCAGTGATGATTCATCATCATCATCATCATCATCATCATCATCATCATCATCATCATCATCATCATCATCATCATCATCATCATCATCATCATCATCCGCATGGTCGAAAGAATCCGGAAGATTGCTAAATTTTCGCGCAAGTCGCGCGCAAGTCGCAAGTCGCGCGCAAGTCGTAGATGCCTTGGATCAGGAGTGGCCCATTTCTGCAGTTTGCATTTTCTTTGTTTCTGCAGATCCCAGCAATGAGTTGCAGCAGCCAGCAGCAGCAGCAGCAGCCAGCAGCAGCCAGCAGCCAGCAGCCACCAGCAGCAGCAGCAGCAGCCAGCAGCAGCAGCAGCAGCAGCAGCAGCCGCAGCAGCAGCAGCAGCCGCAGCAGCAGCCAGCAGCAGCCAGCAGCAGCAGCAGCTGCCAGCAGCAGCCAGCAGCAGCCAGCAGCCAGCAGCCACCAGCAGCAGCAGCAGCAGCCAGCAGCAGCAGCAGCAGCCAGCAGCAGCAGCAGCAGCCAGCAGCAGCAGCCGCAGCAGCAGCCAGCAGCAGCCAGCAGCAGCAGCAGCAGCCAGCAGCAGCAGCCAGCAACAATTTGCAGCGGTGTACACACCTGAGACCTCATACACTTAAGGGGCATGTTTTTGGGGGACCTCACTCTTATGAAGACCGCCGCTTGGATTTGCAATGAAAACATCCTGGGATAAGAGTTTTAATACGGTTTTTTTTTTCCAGCTCACCTGGTGTCGGTACCTGTCGCTGAGTGTGTTCTGACAGCTCTGCCTAGAACACTTTCATTTCCGAGAAAGCGGACCCCCCTGTGTACCGTCCTCCGGATTGGTCCGAAGTCATCAAGCAGCAAGCATCGAGCTATCTTCCGGACTCGGAGAACTCACTGCAACACATCCGCACAAAGGAATTCCCAATTGTGTCCATTTGTTCAGAGGCTCGCTCCTGCGTTCCGAATTTCGGACTTTCCTCACTGGACCTTAGCAAGGCATTCAAACAGTGGCCGTCAAACAGCCTTGCTTTTGCCCATCATTGGAAGTGGCACAGGTTCAAGGGATGTTCGGGCCCTAGAAAGGCCAATTGGCCGGATTTTTTTTCTTGAACCGCGCCGCCCATGAGTTGTTTTTTGTTTTTGTTTTTTTGTTCATATGAATCTCGGGAGGTTTTGGGCTCCATGTGAAGGAATCTATGGAACATGAGTCTCATTTTTTGCATAGGCGAAAGAAGCAAATGGAGGTTTCGGTCATTGAGTTCCACTGAATTTTGGCGCTCGGGCTCCTGCGGGCTCTGTGTTCAGGCGACGATATCCCGGATATTGGCGCCTCGGCCTTTTGCAAGTGGCGTGGGGCTTTGTTTGCCATTCGTTTTGGGATCTTTGCTGCTTCACTCCCTGAGTTCATGGACTTTCTACTTTTCACTGATTCACGCCCTGGGCTAGGCAAGAGTAGCCCGCACACACACACACACAAGAGTTGCTGGACTTGATAGATTTGGGCTTGGACCAAAACAAAAGTTCCCTGCCCCAGGGTTTCTTCAAAGGTTGCCTGCAAAAGCGGTGATCGTTTCAACGGGACCCACCAGTAGCTTGATCAACTTAAAGGGAAATCCAGTGACCCCTGTGTACCAGAGGGCCCCTAAAGAGAGGAACATCATCCGGCACGCCCCCAGCCAGGTTTCATGCCAGATCAGATGGTGGGAGTTGGGATGGCGCGGTTTCCTTCGTTGAGCGACTGAAATCTCCGGGAAAACCCCACAAAACATGGGGGGTATGTGTCAAAATTGGTGGACTCCCTGCAAATTCAGGAGTTGTCGGTTGGCTGCAAAGCCACCCTCCAACACAACCCAAGTTACAGGCTCCCTTCCCTGGTTCGCCTAAGGAGAGAACTTTGAAGAGGTCAGCAAGCAGTAGCTCGGAGCGATCCGCGCTTGGAAGGAAAAAACGACCAAACCGCGCGGCGTTTTCCCGCGTGCGGATCGTTCTTCGGCTTGAGCGGGAAGGCGGATGGAATGTAAAGGTCGCGCCCCGAAAAGAGGAGCCACACGCGGAGGGTTGCGAAATCCAGAAATCGCACCACTTGGAATTTCTTGGCTGACATCATGACTGGTTAATATTTAGGTTTCTGAACGGTGGTGCCGTGTGTCCAAATAGGGCTTCAGCATGGCTGGTTTGCGTGGGGCCCTTTGCCAGGAACGCGCCATCAAAAGGGCGGGAGGATTAGTTTTTTTTTTTTTGGGGGGGGGGGTTTGTTTGCGGCATTGGAATGCCTGGCACAGGGTGCTGTCAAAGGTGGATGCCCTCGATAAAGAACGAGCACGAGCGGCCCTCGATTACCTTAAAGTGCCATGGTTCTGTGGGTGACTGGTTGATTTGCTTGCAATATTCAGGGGCGTCCAACGTAGCTCTTGGGATTTGACTCAGCAAAGTGGTAGATCAAGGCAGCCTCTCAAACCTGGCCGCTCTCAAGCCAGCAATAGGTGGGCGTTCTTGAAGCCGGACGTTCTTGAAGCCTCGTCGTTGGGCGACCGCAAGGCTTGTAACCGACAAGAGAAGCGGTAGGTGGGGGCTCCACTCGACCTTTCGGTCACGATTTCCAGCTTCACCAGTTTCACCGCCCACTCGAAGCATCCACTTTGTAAGGGCATAGATGATCAACCCCTGACTGAAAGAGGGTATCTTCCATGCAAAAGCCTTGCAGCATATACCCAAGAAGCACGGGCCCTGGCGGCTGATAGCCTTCGTCTGCAGCCATGGGGATAGTGCGAGGGCCTTAGCCTGAAGGCTTTGAGGCCACTGCCACAATCTGAGGGTTTTTGTATTACACCCTGGGAGTACACCCGGAAATGACCCAGAATGGTTCAGAATAACACGGTGTTATCCGGAAATGTGCCTACATGGGGTCAATACCCAGTGGGTGTATTCCCAGGGTGTAATAAAAACAACAACAACTTAGATACAAAATACCCGTCCTCCCACAAATGCTGTGGATGGTTGCAAAATCCGCTTCCCGCACCACGGAATCAAGCCATCGTTGAAGCCACTGTTAACGTTGACATTTACGTTGGGGAGTCGAACCATTTCTGGGTAGCATTGAGTGGGGGGGTATCTGGAAGAGACCCTCAGTCCGGTGCCATGGCAAAGTGGGGTTCTCGATTGTCGAGGGCTTTGGTTGCATGAGAGGAGGTGCTGGAAAATGGATCTGTCTTTCTTTAGGGGACCCCCTGTCAACCCCCCCTCCTCACCAAAAAAGCAACAGGTGGTTTTCCTTTTGGTGGCCCTTCAAAACCACATCAAAGGGGCACCCTCAAAAACACGCAGACCCAGATAGGATCAGTTCTCCAGCTTGAAAACACCTGGATGCCAGCCAGCATTAAGGTGGTCGGCCACCGAACTCACTGCCAGCTTGGCAGGCTCTGGACATGTGGGCCAGTTCGGTGCCGAGACGTTGGGGCAATTTGCTTCCAACTTTCGGGTTTAAACAACTGGAATGGGCATAGGTGTCCTTTGTTGGTTGGTTTGTTTAAAAAATAGGGCCCTGGTTTAGATTTCCATATTTTTCCAAAAGGCCACCTATGGGAATGGGTTTGCGAGGTGGAACGGGTTGGTGGTGCCATTAGACAATACTAGGTCTCCCAGTAGTGCCCTTTCTCACCCTTTTGGGGGAGATTCGGTTCCCCTACTAAACTAGACCACAGGAAAAAAGCTGGCACCAACTTGTTCTAGCCTCTCTACTGGAGGACCTACATTCGAACAAAGATATCTCGGACCATAGGAGTTGCAAGTATTCAGCATGCATGTTTTGTTCTACGGTGGATTGCCTGAACATTGCAAGTCGGGAGCGAGCGGCTGAAAGAAATTGCAGATATATGTTTGTCGCTGGGCGGCTAAATGCATTGTTACTTGCAAATGCGAATGCAACAGGTTGGGCAACTGACCCTGCTGTTGGGCCAATGCACGTCCACGCCCTCTTGGAGAAGCAAGCGAAATCCCGGCTGTGGCCCTGTCTAATCCGAACAATTGGAGCTTGGCTCGGCCCGCACGCCGCCCGCCCAACGCACTGGTCGATCCTTTACTTTGGGGCACCTATTGATCCTGTCCACTTCCAGGATTGCACAGAGGGACTATGTGCCCAGGATATGTGGCATCCTTGCCGTTCTTGTGTTTGGGAAAGGGGTCCCTTCTCTCGCAAGGCAACTTGTGTTTGATGAAGCCACCAAAGGGGAGTAAAAGGAACCAATTGAACAATGGCGTGACAAGCGGTACTGTGAATGGACGGAGTCCGGGAAGGGGTAGAGGCATTCAACTGTACAGTTGAGAGATGCCATAACTCCCCCACTTTGGCTTAATGCTTACGCTTTGTTGCATTTTCAGGTTTCTTGGGTAACTTCTTTCCCCTCAAGTAACCATGTGATGGGTTGGTTTGGTGCTTTAGGGATTTGGAGCCTTGGTTCAACGAAGGATGCTACTGAATATCTGCATAATCCATCCACTTGAAAGGGTTTCCCTTCGACCCAAACCACCAATGCCAACCACTTATCTAGAGAGATGGGCATGATGGGCTGAGTGGGTAGATGGGAAATTATTTCTTAATAACACAAATCCAACCCACCAATCCAAAGGGGCAAGCCGATCCTTGGGCGTCAGGCAGCCTGGTGGGCCTCTATACCGTTCTCTGCGGCTTGCACTCGCTTTGCTCAGGCCCGGAGTGGCTGAGGGGGACCAGTCCTTGAGGCTTGGGCATGTGAAAGTTTTCATAAGGCACCCGTGAAAACCTGTACTCGACTCACTTCCAAAGCTCATGGACGTTAGAACCTGGTTGGGATACCGCCATTTTAGTGGTAAATCGATTTGGACTTTTCCTTTAGCCCATCAACTCAGGAAGTGAGTTGATCAAAGTTCAAAATTCCCTGGAACCGTGTCCCCTTTTTTGGGGATGTCTTGATTTTGCCGCTGTGGTCATGATTCTGCTTAGGTCCGTTTCTTTTTTTTCACGTCGGACAGGGGCAGTTTTTGGTTCAACCTACGTGGGTGGTAAAATCATGGGGCCAACAGAATCCAGGGTATGGGGTTTTGGAGGTATGGGTCCTTGCCACCAGTTTTCAGCTTGCATGGCCGTATCTTCGTTCTTGTTAGCAAGTTTGTGGGTTGATTGTTTGTTTTGGTTCTGTCCATTTGTAGTAGGGGGCTGCAAAAAACACCAGTTTGATCCAGTTTGTTTTTGGCCGCCATGCCCAGGGTTGTAATGTAAAGGTATGTTCCCCTTAATGTTGACCCCGGATTAAGAGCAACCCCTGGTTGAGTTTGATCGGGGGGTGTCCCCCTTTTAGTGGGGATTCAGACCACTTTTGGGGGGAACACCCCCCTAATAATGGGACGGGTAAAAAAATCCTGGGTCAACATTAAAGAAGTGGTATCAAAGCTCCATAGCTCCAAAACCTTCCAAAACCTTCCGCGCTAGGCTCTGCGCTGTTGGCCATCCAGCGCTCGGCCGTCCCGGAGATCCAGGCCGGCGTCGGCCAATTTGTCGCGCCCGCCGAAAACTTTGGGGGGAGAGTGCCAGGAGGCGATAGAAGGAGCCCCAAAGATCCAGCATGTTGTTTCTTTGGTGCATTTTAAAAGGATTTTTGGTTGACTTTAGCTTTTTGTCAACCGACGGGTTTTCCATTAAACCACTAAGACTTAAACCTGTAGCAGGGGAGCAGAAAGCACCCGAGGGCTCCTGCAAACAAACAGGCCTTCAGTTCTGGGTCTTTTTTTCGCGGAGTGCGAAGTAAGATCGAGTTTGCCGCCAAAAAATAATGGAAAAAGTCAGTGCCGCAGAAGTTGCGGAAGCCAGCAAGCACCTGTTTGGCTTTCGATTTCTTCCTTTTCTTCTTCCTGTCCTTCAACTTCCGCCGTGACACCTTGATTTCTTACTGCAAATGCGTCGTGATCTTCAAGGACCCAAGATGTCTGGTCCTCGTTCCCGCTGAAGCCTTCATTTCCTTCTTCATCTTCTGTCCAGTAGCAATCTTCTCCTTCCTCTTCTTCAGGTTCCAGCATATAGAAATCATTCTGTCTTGTTCCACCACCTGATCTTTTGTTTGTTTGTTTTTTTGCTTTGGGGGGGAGGTTGCTCGAAGGGCCATGAACATGCATTGCCCGCACTCTCCACTCCTTGGAAGGCGTTGGCAACTCGGGGTCGCTCAGGCATCGATTCTGCAGCTCTCTGGGGCCTACCTCCGCCGGGCTCTGCGGCGAGGTTTTCATCGATGGGGGTCGGGTCGCGAGTTCGGGTGGGAAAAGTCTTCCTTCTTGAGGCCAGTGGATCCACTCGGCTGCATAGCCAAGAGAACCACTCAAAGCCAAAAGGAAAATGGTTGTTCTCCAAGGGCGAAACGCCGGGGATGCAGTCTTATGTTATGGGGTCTGTTCATGGACCCGACGTTTCGCTCCAAACCCGGAGGGACTCAGAAACAAGTTTTGGCATGTCTTGGTCTAGGCTATGCGTCAAACTAGGCAGACACCAGTCAGCAAATAATGACCCCTAAGCCCCCAATGGCATGGCAAAGTGCAACATACCCACTGCATGTCAAACGCGGGATAAAACAGGAGTGCGCTTGCATCCGCGGAAATTAAGGGTTAGAAAGAGACTTGCTGAGGTCATACACAAAACACGACACACGCACACGCACACGCACACGCACACGCACACGCACACGCACACGCACACGCACACGCACACGCACACGCACACGCACACGCACACCCACACACAAACACAAACACAAACACAAACACGCAAACACGCAAACACGCAAACACGCAAACACGCAAACACGCAAACACGCAAACACGCAAACACGCAAACACGCAAACACGCAAACACGCAAACACGCAAACACGCAAACACGCAAACACGCAAACACGCAAACACGCAAACACGCAAACACGCA